TTCCGCCAGCGCCTGGCGCAGATCTCGCACGACATCCGCCAGCGCAACAAGTGCCTGCCCATCCCCTACTACTACCTAGACCCGGTGATGATCGAGAACAGCATTTCCATCTAGGGCGGCCCTTTCCGCCTCGCCTCTCCCTCCCTGCCCTGTGCGCTCTTGTTTTCAAAAAATAACAAAAACACAAAACAAAACAACACGCTCCACACACTGCGGCGGGGTCTGTGGGCGCGCGGCCATTTATGGGGGCGCGGGTGGCGGGGCGCGCCGCCTCACACGGCGATGCTGTTCTCCACGACGGCGGGGTCCAGGTACGGGTAGGGCAGCGCCAGGTCCCGGTTCCGCTCCTGGATGGCGCTCGAGATTTGGGCCAAGCGGCTCTGGAAGGCGGCGACGCCCCGCCGCGGGGCCTCCTCGGTGAAGTGCTCGTCGGGGTAGGTGCCCAGGCGCCGCTGGGACGGCAGGAGAGAAAGGCTGGGACTGCGGCCCGTCTTTCAACTTCCAGCGGGTTCGGTCCACCTTAAATACTCCTACCTGGGGACTTAATCTACCCAAGCTCCGCCCATCTAGGGGACCCAGACCACCGGAAACCGACCGCCAGCCTGCCAGCGCACAAGTAGGCGGAAGACCCCGGGGCTAAAAAGAACCCAGGCCACCCTAAGCTCCATCCACTAGGAATCCCGGCCACCTGCACCACGCCCGCCTGCAATCTAGTCACTCCAGCCCTGACCAACCAGGGACCCAGCCTGCCAAGTAGATCCTCCAGTTCCCCATTGGCTCCAGGCTCCCTTCCTCTTACTCTCTTAGAACCTGAAGCCCCGCCCCCCTCAGGGCTTGCTTACAGTGTCCTTGGTTTCACTGCTGACGCCCCAGAAGAGCACGAGGGCGTGGCACGTGGCATTGACCTCAGGGAGGTAGGCCAGCAGGTCTGCCTGGCCTTTGGTGGTGGGCGGGGGCAGCCGCATGGTGGTGGGAACGTTGGGCATCCAGGCACTGAAGTCAAACTGACCCCCCCAATCAGTAAGCACAGAGCTGCCAGTACTCCTGCTAGGTCCACCCCTCCTGTAACCCTGGTTGTCCCTCCACGTGTGGCATCCCCTCACCTGGCCGCTGTTGACAGCAGCATGTTGGGCGGAGCAGGTGAAGATGATCATGGTGAGGTACTGGATGAGGCCAGCACAGCTGTCCAGGGTGGAGGGGACTCCTGGATTGGAGCAGTATGGAGAGAGCAGCGCTCAGACCCAGGGGCCGCTGCCTTGGGTTAGAGAGTCTGGAGGGTGGGTGACAGGGATAAACACGTCACCTGAGCTTGTGCGTCCTAGAAATCCCTCCTGGAAGATCTCTCTGACCCAGGCCTGGAGCTCCGAGTCCCTGCTCACTGAGCCATCATCCGGGTAGTAGATGTTGACAATATCGGTCACAAAGCTGGGTATGCAGGAGTACATGGTGACAAAGAGCCGGGAGCCAAACTGCCCACTGCAATCAGCTGCCCCCAAATGAAATTGAGGCCAACTAAAGAAAATGGCTAACTGGGACCAGCAGATGGCGTAATGACTATGTCGCTGGACTCCCCACGCAGTCAACCGCGGTTAGAGTCCCGGACCTGGTGGCTTAAACTCACACCGGGCGCGTGTGCATGCATACCCAAGATCCCGAGAGGAGGGGAGGCGGGATTTCACCGTCGCCATCCCCCCTGGGGGGTGATTTTTCGCTTTCTGTCTCTCTCTGTCTCTCTCTGTCTTTCTGGTAAGCACACGCGCCCTATAACAAAAACCTCTCCAAAGAAAAGAAAGAAAATGGCTAACTACACAGAGCATAAACTGAGTTTCAAACCTGGAGGCTGCCATCTTGCATGGGTGTCAAGGGGCTTAGGGCCAGAGTTAGTCTGCAGATATGTTTCCACTGGTAGGCAAGGCTTTTCTGGTTTGCATTTTTTTTTAAAAAAAGTTTGTTTGCCATTGGGACCAGCAGGTGGCATGGTGGTTAAGGTGCTGGACACTCCCACATGGTCGACCACAGTTCAAGCCCTGGACCTGGTGGCTTGCTTTCTCACTTTCCCTCCTTCCCTTTCTCTCTCTCTCTCTCTCTGTTCAAATTAAAATATATAGATGAAAAAATAAAATAATTATTTTTAAAAATATTTTTACCATGAGGCAATGTGCACTTGCCCAAGAGAGAGAGACAGAGAGAGACAGTGAGAAGGAAAGTGAGAAATCACCCCCATGGGGGTCAGCCACACCATAATCCCTCCTCCATTACCCTCCCAGGATCTTGGGCATGCACGCACACATGCCTGGTGTGATTTTCTTAAACAATTATTTTATTTCATTTATTATTATCATTATTATTTATTTAATTTGGCCAGAGAGAGACAGAGAAAGAGAAAGGGAAAGTAAGAAAGCAAGAGTCCAGGTCTGGAACTCAAACCGTGGTTGACCATGGGGGAATCCAGTGCTTTACCCCCCACGCCGCCTGCCAGCTCCCATGGTGTGATTTTCCAGCTGCCAGGTTCAGGACTCAAACTGCGATTGGCCATGTGGGAGTCCAGTGCCTTAGCCACCACACCACCTGCTGGCTCTTGGTTTCCTTTTTATGTGAATCACTTAGCACTATTTAAACATATGTTAAATCTGAAGATTTGGCCAAAGTCGTAGCTGGGTGGCCATTGTCCCCATCAGATGAGCGCGAGTTTTCCACCGGCCACAGTCCTGGCCCGCCCCTCCCCCAGCCTTCTGGGCTTGCTGGTCCCACAGGCAGTTGGGTCCCAGCCTTTGGAGCTAGACAAGCGGCAGGGAAGGATTCGGCACCAGGCCCCTCCATGTCTGAGTGCGTCCACTTCCCCCGCTGGCTCCCAAAGGGTCATCCATCCCTAGACACATTAGGGCTTAGGAAGGGTGTGTAGATACATGGCCAAGAAGGTTCTGGCAAGGTCAGCCCTATGGCCTGGTAGTTGAGGGAGCCATAGTCAAGATGGCTGCCTGGGGATCGAATCCTGACCCTGATGACTTGAAAAACACATCAGGTGCATGTGGATGTCCCACACCCCAATAAAGTGGAGAAATGGAAAAGGGTTTGTGGTGTGACTACATCCCATTGAGGGCTGCTTTCTGTGTGTGAGTGTGTGTGTGTGTCTGGCAAGGGCACATAGCCTCTGGCACATTTAAAGAAAAAAAAAATGTTCACAGGCAGACCCCGCTATGGGCGTTCCTACAAGAGAAATCCTGGAGGACTTCCAGGGAGAGGTGAGACAGACACTTGGGCTTAAAGCAGGGGCAGTGTTTGGAGAAGGGAGAAATTGAGGTGCCCAGCCTCCCTATGCTCAGGGTGTGCTGAGGAGGAAAAGTGGAAAGGGGGCAGACTCCAGAGGGGCAGTGAATACGGCATTCTATGTGGGAAGAGACTCAGGGTCACTGGACGCTCCTGAGTGGCAGCTCTGTCATAAATGCCAGTGCCTGAGGGAGGTCGTTGTGCAGAATAAAGGCAGAAGTTAGGGACCCACAGGAGGCCAAGAGAAACTGACTGCTGAGTAGAGGCCAGAGGTGCATTCCAAGGAGGTCTCCCACTGGAAGGATCTAGAAAAAAAATCCTAGAGACAGTGACTATCTATAATGTGAATAATAATAATATTATGGGGTGAGTAATAGCATTAAATAACTATATTCAGAGAACATTTCCTACTCACTAAAGTTTGTTCTTGGGGTTTGCCACTTATCCTAGTAATAAGCCATGAGGGGGTCAGGTGGGGTGCAGCGGGCCTACATGGGTTCTGGGTTCAGGTCCCGAGATCTTGAGCGTGTGAAGGGGGCTGGCTGAGATGGAGAAGTGTAGGAATCTTGTTTGGAGTATTTTTCTCACCACCCCCTCCATGGAAGAAGTAAATAAATAAATTTAAGAAAAATAAAAAAGGGGCCAGCAGGTGGCATGGTGGTGAAGGGCTCTGGATTCCTGAATGGCTGATATTTGTTCGAGTCCTGAACCTGGTGGCTTGCTTTCCCAGTTTCTCTCTCTCTCTCACTCTGTCCCTCTCTGGTCAAATTTAAATAAATAAATAAATGGATAAATAAAGTTAAATAAAATAATTTAAAAAATCCCTGGTTTTTTTAAAAAGAAAAAGAAAAAGAAATAACCTAAGAGCTATATGCTCTATATATTTTTTTTGGAGAGATTTTTTTCTATAGGGCGCGTGCGCTTGCCAGAGAGAGACAGAGAGAGACAGAGAGCTAGAAAGTGAGAAATCACCCCCCAGGGGGGATGGCCACGTTGTAATCCCTTCTCCTCCATTCTCCTCTCGGGATCTTGGGCACACACGCACATGCGCCCGGCGTGAGTTTAAGCCACCGGGTCTGGGACTCGAACCGCAGTCCACTACGTGAGAGTCCAGCGACATAGCCATTACGCTAACTCCTGGTTCCCCCAAGCTATATGGTCTTATTACATCCATTTTCAAATAAAGAAACAGGCACAGAGAGGTTAAGTGGCTTGCCCAAGATCACGCAGCGGGGAAGAGGTGAGAAGGCACTGTGAGATAGCAGTCTGTTCGGGTAGGATGCAGGGAGAAGGCGATCAACAAACCAGCAGAAGGATAGCTGAGGGTGGGCATCTCGGAGCCCTCAGGCCCCAGGGGAGCTTCACCTCTCGATGGCCGCCCAGATCTGGAGCCCATCCTCTCGGTAGTAGTAGCGGGCGAGGTCCTGGACCTCACGGTCAGCCAGCTGGTGGGGCAGGCAGAGGGAGCGGTAGGTGACAGCTTCCAGCCCTTTGGTGATCAGCTCCAGGCAGCCCTTGCGTCCCAGCGACGTTGACTGTAATGAGCAGAGAGTCCTCTGCTGCCAGGAGGCTCTGGGCCGAACCTCAGCCCCCTCCGGTGCCCCCTCTCAGCCCCCAGGACCCCCGGCCTGCCCGGGCCCTGACCTGGTCGATGAGCGTCCCTGGCGCGAGGAGCCCAGTGCGGGCTTGGACGTTGACGTGGAAGGTGTAGCGGAAATGCGGGGTGAGCAGCTGGGGGAGCCAGAGTCAGACGTCCGATGTCAGACAAGGCAGCCCCAGGTCTTGCACAGCTGAGCACAGAGAGGAGGGGGGCCCTCCTACCTTGAAGATGGGGTGGCACATGGGCAGCTGCCGCAGCAAGGACAGAGCAAAGGTCTCCGCCACAAAGTGGGTCCGAAGCAGATGAGTGACCATCTCGTGCACGAGGAATTCTGAGTGTCGCACCCAGGTCTTGGCGAGGAGCCAGTCTTCCGGGGAGTCGCTGGGCAGGAAAATGGGGCTGTCTGGGCCTGGAGTTTGAGTGAGCTGGAGAGGGGAGCACAGGGGAAAGGATCAGGCAGGAACGGGGTAAGCCAAACGCAGGGTCAGCTGCGTGACCTTGGGAAAGTGACTGAACCTCCCTGTGACTCGGGGTCCTCGTTGGTAAAATGAAATTGATGAGTATAATGTCTCAAGCCGGCCCGTGGCCTGGTGGTTGAGGTGGCTGGATCCCACATGGCTGACTGTGCAGCTGGAGTCCCCAACCCAGCAGCTTGAAAAACATGCCAAGCACATGTGCATGTGGGCCCAAAATCCTGAAAGAAGGGGAAAATGCAGGAGAAGGGATTGTGGCATGACTATGTCACATGCGGGGTGCTAGTTTACTTTTCTTCTCTCGCTTGCTCATGGACTTTCAATAAAAATTTGTGAAAAAATTCTGAGAGGTGGGACCCGCAGGTGGCATGGTGGTGAAAGCGCTGGACTCCCACATGGTGGACCGTGGTGCGAGTCCCAGAACCTGGAGGTTTGCTTTCTCACTTTCCCTCTCTTTCTCTGTCTCTCTCTCTGGTGAGTGCATGTACCGTATAGCAAATGAAATATAAATTAATTAAATAACTTTTAAACAATTCTGAGAGGTGAGGTGACCCAAGGCCTCCTTGGCAAATTTGGCGGGCTCCTTTTTACCAGACATGCGGATCCCCGGTTGTGTGGGGTGGAGACTGGAAGGAGGGGAGGGATATCTCCCACATAGACTGTGGTTTGAGTCCTGACCCTGTGGCTTGAAACTCAGCTGGATGTGGGTGTGCCTGGAGGGTAGTGGAAAAGAGGGGATTGCAGTGTGGCCGTCCCCTCCACCCCCAAGGGAGGGCTTTCTCGCTTTCTTGTCTATGTTTTCTGTTTGTCTGTCTTTCTCTCTCACATGTGCCCTATAGCAAAAATCTAAAAAGGAAAAAAGATGGAAGTTAAAGAGGACATAGCAGAAAAACTAGAGGAAGAGTCTAAGGAGAGCCGTGCCGGTTTAGCACAGTGCGCTGGGAGGAGGCGGTGTTGTCTGAGGATGGGCGCTGTCCTGCTCCCACAGCCCGCCCTGCGGCCCTGCCTTACCGACCTGGATGGCGAGAGGCCGCAGGGGCCCGCCGCTGGGGAGCTGGTGCAGCAGTGTCAGGGGCGCAGCCACGAACTGGGGCCTCCCATTAATGGTGCTGGGGCAGAGGCCCGAGAGGATGGCGTGGTCCACCAGGTACAGAGAGCCCCTCTAGGGGAGAAGAGGAGGAGGAGGAGGGCTGAGGGAGGGACAGCACTGTACAGTCCTGGGACACCTGGGGGAGTTCCTCTGAACCTACTTAATGGAACTGGAGCTGAAGGAGTGTTCCAGCCCAGAGCCACCTTCTGGCTCCAGAGAAAGACACCCTCCTCCCCTGTCTGCTGTGGCCGGGTCCCAGTGGCAGTGAGAGCAAGGCCTGCCCGAGGTTGGTGTCTTACAGTGTGGGGGGACCTTCATGGAGCTGGGGACAGAGAGGGGAGAGCTGGCAGCTAGGGGGAGCATTCAGCTGATCAGCTGTATCCTCAGTAACCGTGACAAGTGACACATTGCCAAGGGTCCTGAGCTGTAGGGTCCTGCCCATACACACAGCCTGGCAAAGTACCAGGGAGAGCACTCCCCCCTCAGCCCTGCCCCCACCAGCCCTCACCCTCACCCTCACCCTCCAGGGGTGATGGTCATGCCACAACCCTGCTCTCTCCTCCTCCCACCTCCTCCATCGCCTCCATCCCCAGGTGATGGTGAGAAGTCTCTGACTCAGAGGAGCTGAGCAATGAGGCTAGAAGGCAAGGAGGGGTGGGGGTGACCAGGGCTGCCTGGAAGAGACAGGGTGGATGGGGGAACTAGGACACTGGGGGACTGGGAATCTGAGCTCCTGAAGGCACCATCAGGGGAGGGAAGGGATGAGAGCCTGGAGCCCTGCGCCCCTCACCTCCAGCTCAGCCTGCAGACTGGTCCCAGGGCCCAGCACTGGGGCCACCATGGCATCAGTGACTGGAAAGTTCTCTGGGAGGCGATGACAGCGGCGGATCAGGACGGGGTTGAGGCCAGTCAGGAACTGGGAGGCAAAGAAGGCGTCCTCCTGCCAGTGCTGGAACACGTATTCTGCAGGGTGGGGACACGGGGACTGGGTCAGCCTGATCCCTACCTCTTCCCCACCTCCACCTACTCCGAGTGGCCATGGTCTGGTGCTGGTGGGTAGACTGGGTTCCCCTCCTCCTACCACAACTGGATTACTAGCAAGTGGCTTCCCAGACAACGAGGGATTCGAGGTTTAGGCTCTGCCTGAGGAGTCTCCTGGACTCCCCACCTCAACCCACACCCCAGTTTGGGGAGAAGCATAAGGAGCTCTGATGTGTGCACCGAGACAGCATCTAACATGAGAGAAGGATCAGAGAAAGTGAAAGAAAATGAAGAAAAGAGAAAGAAAGAGGACCAGCGGGCGGCATAATGGTTACGTCACTGGACTCCCACGGATCCTAGACTTGGGCGTGTGTGAGTGCCCAAACTCCCGAGAGAAGAATGGAGGACAAGGGATTGCAGCGTGGCCGCCCTCCCGGGGGATGAGTTCTCGCTTTCTGTCTCTGTCTCTCCAGTGAGTGCTTGCACACCATAGCGTTCTCGCCTCTAAACAAGAAAGAAAAGAAAGAGGAAAAGAAAAGAAAAGAGAAAAGAAGAAAAGAAGAAAGAGAAAAAGAAAGAAAAGAAGAAGAGAAGAAAATGAAGGAAGGAAGGGAGGGAGGGAAAGAAAAAGAACAAAAGGGAAGGCTGAAGAATGCTGGCCCCCAGCACAGACCTTCCTTCCTGAGCTGGGGCTGGCTCCCGGGGTCCCTCCACTTCCCTGTTGGAACTCACCATCCCATGTCCCATCCTCCAGCAACTTTGCCAGAAGATAGCCTGGACAACTGTTCGACCAGTGTGATCATCACAAAGAGTTTATACCACGGTGGGCCAGAGCGCCGTGCCGGGCTTCTTGAACCATGTTCAGCCTGTGTAGTCTGAACCCGGCGGGACGAGGATAGCCCAGCGGGGATATGCACAGTCTAACTTAGTCTGGTTCTCACCCCCACCCCTCCTTGCCTTCTATACCAAGGCCCCAACTGAGTAGCCAATTGTATTTATTTTTTTTTTTAGAATTATTTATTTGATTTTGTTTGCTATTATTATTATGATTACCATTTAAATTTACTATAGGGCATGTGAGCACCCCAGAGAGAGACAGAGAAGGAGAAAGAGAGAGAGAGAGAGAGAGAGTGAGAAAGCTAGCTGCTAGGTCTGGGACTCAAACCATGGTCATCCATGTGAGAGTCCTGCGCCCTAACCACTATACCACCTGCTGGCCCTCAGGAGAAAGTCTTTTTGCTTGGGATGATTTTTCCTCATTTGCTGAGGATCATCATGGGACAGGGGTTGCAATTATTCAGAGTGGCTCAGTGCTGGAGACAGTGAAGACGCGGGTATGGAGTTGGAGGAAGGGGATGACCTGTAGACCCCACGGCCCTTGCTGGAGTTCACCAGTTTTAGGAGAGAAGCTTGCTACAGGACAGACTTCAGGCACCCAGAGAGGGCAGGAAGGGTTTGTAACCCCGCCTGGCCTGCGGTGACAAAGAAGTAGAACTTGCGAACGCTCAGGTAGGCGAGAATGGCTGGGTGAACAGTGGACAGTGGGCCTTAGCCCACCACGGGGAGGACATGTGGAGCAAGGCATCATCTGGTCGGCCCTCTGCTTCTGCCACCTGTTCCTCAGACATAGAAGCCACCCTCCCCTGGCAGCCTTGGGTGACAGAAGTGTGCCATCTCGGGGCAGAAGTAAGGTTCTGAGAAGGACAGAGCAGGTGGCAGTGCAGGCCAAGTCCTGTGATTTCCAGAACGTTCCAGTTCTGGCTCTCTGGTTCTCAGCCCCACTAGCTGATCACTGAGGACCCTCGGCCCTAACACAGCGCCACCCTGCCTCACACTGCAGACCTGACACCTGCGATTTGGGGAAGACGAAGGTTCGCTGGATCTCCTCCAGGCTTTGCCAGGGCCGCTCACTGTCGAGCAATCCCTTCAGCTTCAGGACAATGCTCCTGCAGGAAGACAGAAAGACAGGGGCTGTGGAGGGAGCCCAGGGGCAGCGAGGCGGATTTCTGGTGGGGGTCCGGCAGGCTCACGGGGAAGCAAAGTGGAATTTCTGGTTGACATCTTTGGTGACTGAATAGCGCAGATTGGGATCGAGGTCCTTGAGATTTTCGGCATCCAGGCAGCGAGGAATCCCAGGGAAATACTCGCTCCACCTGGGCAGAGATGGAGATGGGAGTGAGCTGCTGAGGGAGGGACCCCACTTTGGGGAGTGGGAGGGGTAACTGGGTCCCTAAGCCTGGTTGTGCTGGGAAGTCTTTGGGACGGGGAGCTGAGGAGGGGTATATGCCAGAACTCAGGGGGTGGGGTATGCTGTTCTTAGAGTTCAGAAGGTTGGAGCAAGGGAGACCCTTTGTCCCAGAACACAGGGCAGGTGGTGCAAGAGTTGGGGGCGCCGAGGACACCCAGCGCAGGCCCCTCTGAGCAGCTCACCGGTATTTCTGCTGCCTCTCCTGAATCTCCGCCTGGCGCTGGGCACACAGCAGAGGGTGACTGTCTTGCCAGATGACTTTGGCTGGGGGAGGGAAGGCATGAGAGCACGGGCTGTGGAGGGAGCCCAGGGGCAGCGAGGCGGATTTCTGGTGGGGGTCCGGCAGGCTCACGGGGAAGCAAAGTGGAATTTCTGGTTGACATCTTTGGTGACTGAATAGCGCAGATTGGGATCGAGGTCCTTGAGATTTTCGGCATCCAGGCAGCGAGGAATCCCAGGGAAATACTCGCTCCACCTGGGCAGAGATGGAGATGGGAGTGAGCTGCTGAGGGAGGGACCCCACTTTGGGGAGTGGGAGGGGTAACTGGGTCCCTAAGCCTGGTTGTGCTGGGAAGTCTTTGGGACGGGGAGCTGAGGAGGGGTATATGCCAGAACTCAGGGGGTGGGGTATGCTGTTCTTAGAGTTCAGAAGGTTGGAGCAAGGGAGACCCTTTGTCCCAGAACACAGGGCAGGTGGTGCAAGAGTTGGGGGCACCGAGGACACCCAGAGCAGGCCCCTCTGAGCAGCTCACCGGTATTTCTGCTGCCTCTCCTGAATCTCCGCCTGGCGCTGGGCACACAGCAGAGGGTGACTGTCTTGCCAGATGACTTTGGCTGGGGGAGGGAAGGCATGAGAGGAGGACCTGTCCCTACCCCTCACCACCCCACCCCCGTCCCCTCCTCTCCTGAGACCTGGGTAGGGACATCTCTGAACTGGAATGTTGGCCATCACAGGCCTCTTGATCTGTCCTTCTCCCGGGGACAGAGAAGCCCCTGCCACCACTCTGCCTTCCACGGAGTGGAAGAGAAGACCCAGCCACGCCTGGAGTCTGCCCCTTCCAGGCATTGACACCGGCTCAGCAGCAGAGGGCAGAGGGGGCCACAGAGCAGAGTTGGTGGGAAGAGAAAGAGGGGTCCATGACCATACCCTCCTCCCATGCTGGACTGCAGTCTCCTGCCCCGCAGGCCACCTCTTCACGGTCCCGGTTCTCTTTCCAACAGCCACTGGCCTCCCGCCTCAGCGCCCCAATCTGATCGTCTTGAGGGCACCCGTCCTTCCTCCCTGCCCGCTGATCCAACACCAGCGCTCCTCAAATGTGGTTTCTCCCAAACTTTCCACCTCCTCTTTCCCGCCGGCTGTTCTCCCCTCCTCTGCCGGTCCCCCTACCAGGTCTCACCGGCCCAACTCCACGCCCTGGCCCTTTCCCCAACACCAGTCTCTGTCCTCCTCCCGTGTCCCCAGCGCTCCCCCTCCTGCTCACCTGCCCCTTCCCGCAGCACCAGGCTCCCGGTCCCCTCCAGCCACTGGGAAGCGGGAGGGGGCCGTCCGACGGCGGGGTGAGCTGGAGCCAGCGGCAGAACCAGGCGTCCGAGGGCAGGGTCCCGATCGGGCAGGGCAGGGTCAGGGGCGCCTTGTGCACGCGCAGCAGCAGCACCGGGCCCACGTCCTGGGGGAGCGTCACCTCGAAGTCCTCCTCCTGGAGGCGGTGGCGGGGAGAGAAGGCTCGAGTGGGCTGCGCGGGGAGCAGGGGAGGGGGCCGGGCCGGGCGGCGGGGACACTCACCGCGCCCCGCTGGAAGTCCTTCCCGAAGTTGTCCAGCCGCAGGGCCGGGCTCTCCCCTTCGGATCCCACCAGGCTCACTGACACGTTGTCCCAGGTCCCCGAGCCCAGGAAAGAGCCGGTGGCTACACGCACTCGGTACTCGCCCATGGCTGAGGTCGCCGGAGTCCGGGAGGGCGGCTGCGGTCGAGGCGGCGGCGGGCTGGGAGGCGGGGCTCAGCTGCGAGCCGGACCGAGGAGGGTGGTTGCGGCGCCCGGCAGCGGGTTCGCGGACTGAGTCCTCCTGCCTCGGGCTCAGGAAGGAGCCCTGTGCCCTCGAGAACCTCCACCCAGAGGTCCCGCCCAGCACCCTGCCCAGTACTCCTCCCCCTGCACATCGGGCGGGCCGGGAGCGCGGACGCGACCCGCGGAGGTTCCCTGCGTCCCCTGCTGGCCCACCGAAGCCCTCGCCCCATCCCACTGCCTCAGCTTCTTTTGTGACTTCTAATTTAACATTTCCTTACCGACGGATATTCAGATTTTAATGTTTTTCTATTATAAATAATATTGCATAGAACCACTGAAAACGTTACCTCGTGCAAATGTAGGGGTTTTCGGTTACAATATACTTCTTAAATAATTATTTATTTTAATTAATTAATTAATTAATTAATTTTTCCTTTTTTTTTTTTATAGGGCACGTGCGTTTGCCAGAAAGACAGAGAGAGACAGAGAGATAGAAAGCGAGAAATCACCCCCCCAGGGGGAATGGCCACGCTGCAATCCCTTCTCTTCCATTCTCCTCTCAGGATCCTGGGCATACACACACACACACGTGCCCGTTGTGAGTTTAAGCTGCTGGGTCCGGGACTGGAACTGCTGTTGACTACATGGGAGTCCAGTGACATAGCCATTAGCCTACCTGCTGGTTCCTTATTTATTATTTTAAGTTTGACCAGAGTGATTGGAAAGGTAGAAAGCAAGCCGCCAGGTTTGGGACTTAAATCACCGTAGGCCATATGAGAGTCAGTGCCTTAACCACCAGCCACCTGCTGTAGCCCCAGGATATCATTTTAAAAATAATTTATTTAGTTTTTTATTATTGCTGTCATTATTATTATTTCTTTATTTTTTAAGTCACCAGAGAGAGACACAGAAAGAGAGACATAAAGCAAGCTGTCAAGTCTGGGACTGAACTGCAGTCAACCCCCAGGGTAGTTCAGGCACCTTAACCACCATGCCACCTGCTGGCCCCCAGTTAAGATATCTTGATCTAAATGGTTTTGCTGGGTTAAACTTTTTTCTTGCTTAACTTATACATTTTTTTTTTTAAGAGAGGTTTTCACTATAGGGTGCGTGCGCTCGCCAGACAGACAGAGAGACATAGAGACAGAAAGCGAGAAATCACCCTCCAGGGGTGATGGTCACGCCGCAATCCCTTCTCCTCCATTCTCCTCTCGGGATCTTGGGCATGCATGCACATGCGCCCAGCGTGAGTTTTAAGCCACCGGGTCCGGGATGCGAACCACGGTCGACTATGTGGGAGTCCAGCAACATAGCCATTACGCTAACTGCTGGTTCCCTTAACTTATAAATTTTGATTGAAACTTTCAAAGAGCTGTCCTTCAAAGCTACACGGTTACACCAGAGCCTGGTTGCTTGACACCTTTCACAACCCTGAAAGACTTCCCTAAGACCTTCACAACTCTGAATAGACTTTCCTAAGACCAGTGAGGTAAAATATCTTTGCACATTTATTAGACATTTAGATTTATTTTATTTACTGCCTTTTGTGAATTTCCGGATATAGTCTTTGCTCTTTTTCTAGTGTTATTAATTTGTAAAAGCTCTTTATATATTTCTAGTATTTACTATTTGTTTCAAATAATTTCTCCTGTTGGTGGCTAGCCTTTAATTTTTCTGTCTGGCCACATTGTCTCATCAGACCTTCAGAAGCAGGAGTTCATTGTCCTTATTCTAGTAATGTCTTAGAGTCTTTTTTTTTTTCCCTTAAGAATTATTTATTTAATTTTATTTATCGTCATCATTATTATTATTATTGGGTCATCAGGAAAGTCATGATTCTATAGGGCTTATGTGCTCACCAGAGAAAGAGAGAAAGAGCGAAAGTGAGAAAGCACGCTGCCAGGTCCAGGACTCAAACTGGGGTTGGCCATATGGGAGTCCAGCATCTTAACCACCTCCCCACCTGCTGGGCCCATGGCTAGAGTCTTGCATCGCTGTTTCTACCTCGTTTGTTGCTACCTACCCACAGCCCTATCCTCTTCCTCCTCCACTCCACCCTATAATAGAATATTGGATAGGGAGTGACGAGAAGTGAGCATTAACCTTTCAAGTTAAAGACAGTGGTTCAGTAACCATTGATTCAGATTATATTATTTTTAGATAATCATGTTAGTGGAATAAGTATAGCTGTAGGTAAGATCGATTCTCAGCTCTTGGCTTCTTACCGGGACTTTCCACTGTAACATTCTTCCG